CTGTCCAAGTCAATCCCATGAAGTTTGCCCTGCCCACCACCCCATGCCAGTCAAAATAAAATAAAGTGTTAAGGAAGAGTTCATCTAAATGAAGAAATGTGTGGAGGACTCTAAACCAGTAACACCTCTCTTTAGGCCAGACAAAGCGTACACTTAGGGCTGAGTCGGTGATGCTGAATTCAGACTCTGTAATCTCTTGGAGGGAGTCCCTTGGTGGTGCAAACTGTTAATGCATTGACTTGCTAACGAAAAGGTTGGAGGTTCGAGTCCACCCAAGGACACCTCAGAAGAAAAGCCTCATGATATACTTCTGAGAAATCAGTCATTGAAAGCCCTATGAAGTATAGTTCTACTCTGACACACAAGGGTTCACCATGAATTAGAATCAATTCAACTGCAACTGGTAATCATTTGGTGAACTGGGTTCCACTCCTGGCACGGTCATTTATTACCAAATTTTTACCTTTCTCATTGTCAATTTCATCTGGAAAATGGGACAGTAACATTGGATTCCTATGATTATAAAATGAGATAATGTGTGTAAATATTTAACCGAGGGTGGGTTTACTCTAAAGGGTTTGGCATATAGTTGTTGTTTCTGTTAGGTGCTGTGGAATCAGTTCTGACTCATGGTAACCCTATTCTTGAGATAGTCTCGAAATTGAGCTGGGATATACTCAAGGTCATACTTTGGCTCTCGTGGGCTTGGTTTAATTTTCTTCAGCTTCAACTTGAACTTGCCCATGAGCAATCGATAGTCTGTCTGAAGTCATCAAAACCTTGCCCTTGTTCTGATGATATCAAGCTTCTCCATCATCTCTATCCGCAGATGTAGTTGATTTGATTCCTCTGTATTTCATCTGCCACGTACACAGTTGCTGTTTATGTTGTTGAAAAAAGGTATACCCAGTGAGTAAGTCGCTGATCTTGCAAAATTCTATCACGCTATCTCTGGTGTCATTTCTATCACCAAGTCCATATTTTCCAACTATTGTTCCTTCTCCTTTGTTTCTTTCACATTCCAATCACCAGTAATTATAAATGCATCTTGATTGCATGTTTGATCAATTTCAGACTACAGAAGTTAGTAAAAATCTTCAATATCTTCATCTGTGGCATTAGTGATTGTTGTGTTAATTTGAATACTAGTTGTATTAATTTGTCTTTCTTGTAGACGTATGGATATTACCCTATCACTGACAGCATCGTACTTCAGGATCAATTTTGAAAAGTTCTTTTTGATGATGAATGTGATGCCAGTGTTCCTCTTCAATTTGTCATTCCTGGTATAGTAGACCATATGATTATCTGATTCAAAATGGCCAATACTAGTCCATTTCAGCTCACAAATGCCTAGTTCCAATATTCCTAGATTCATACTACATACATTACACATTCTGATTGCCAATGGATATTTGCAACTCTTTCTTCCCATTTTGAGTCATGCCACATCAGCAGAAGAAGGTCCCAAAAGCTTTACTCCATCCACCTCATTAAGGTCAACTCTACTTTGAGAAGGCAGCCCTTCCCCAGTCGCATTTTGAGTGACTTCCAACCTGAGTGGCTCATATTCCAGCACCATATCAGACAATGTTATGCTGCTATCCATAAGGTTTTCAGTGGCCAATTTTTTTCAGAAATAGATCACCAAGTCCTTCCTCCTAGTCTGTCTTAGCCTCAAGCTCCACTGAAAGCTCTACCCATGGGTGACCTTGCTGGTATTTGAAATACAAATGGCATAGCTTCCAACATCATAGCAACACTCAAGCCACCACAGTATGATAAACTGACAGACAAGAGGTGGGGCATATAGTTAGACATCAAAATACAGGGACTAATGTCCATCACCTTTAGAAACCTTATGGGGCAGATATACTCTGTCCTATAGAGTCAAAATGAGTTGGAATTGACTCATTCGCAGTGGGTTTGTATTGGCAATGGGTTTGGTTTTGGTTTTTAATGAGCATAGCAGTTGTATAAGATATACTAACATTGCTTCTTTACGTTTTTCTTCCTCTAAGGAGCCCCAGTGGTGAAGTGTTAAAGTGCTTGGCGGCTAACCCGAAGGTGGGTGATTTGAACTCACCAGCAGCTCTGTGGGAAAAAGATGTGGCAGTCGGCTTCCATAAAGGTTACAGCCTTGGAAACACTATGGGGCAGTTCTACTCTGTCCTATAGAGTTGAAATGAGTTGGAATTGACTCAATGGCAGTGGGTATGCTTTGGCAGTATTTCCCCAAAGTGAAATGCAAGTCAAGAAACTGCTATCCACCCAAGACAGAGCAGCCCTGGATTCATTATTAGAATGAGTGGGACAAATGTCATGGACCAAAATGGACCTGGGGTTGGAAGGACTAGACTAAGAAGCAGTAAACCATTTGCACCATCCAGGGCCACCATGTGACAATGGACAACTATCACATCCTTTCTCACACGTGTTACTTCCCTGTATTAGCCAACGGCTTACGGTGAAAATGACGACATAGGCCAACCACAGTTCCTTTTCCTTTCAGCTCTTCCTGATTCTCAGTAAGATGACAGGAGAGAGTGTTGGTAGAATGTGCACATATCAAGAAGTGAAACAAAAATAGTTGAGTTTGGTTTGTGCAGTGTTTCTGCTGGGCTGGTGGGAATGAGCTATAAAATATGAGTTGTATAATTTCAATGATTCTGCATATGAGTTAAAGTTCCTATGTTACACTTAAAACTGGCGTTGCACAATATAAGGATGAACATCAGATTCATGCTAATAATAATTACAATCAAGTTGTGGTTTTTCTTCACTTAGAATGCCATATAAAAGGAAATTAAAAACAAGAACAACAACAGCAAAAAGCCTTGCCAAGTCATAACAGACTGTGGAAAGAAAACTATATTTTTAATATCTATAATGACACTTTTTTCTTGCTTTTTGAACAAGGGTCCCCACAAATTATGCCACTGGCCATGGTGTAGGTGGTGGGCAGAGAACGTGAGGGAAGAGACCTCATAATTTTAGGAAATAAATCCATGCCCCTATTTCATAATAAAGGAAAGCAACATACTCGCTTTGAGTTTGATCATCTTTTTTTTTGTTTCCTTCCCACAACAAGTAAAAAACAAAGCAAAACAAAAACGATCAACACAAGTACAGAAATTCAATTTTAAAAAATCACCAGAGTTCAAAGAAGGTCACAGCCCCTGCCTGGGTTTAACTTACATATTTACAGAGTGTATGGCACAGGTGTGGCTACAGAGGCATATTGAAAAGACGATATTACAAAATATACAAAAATGGTGTTTTTTCTTTACATTTCATAGAGGAACCGTGCTCCATTTCCAAATGAGAGCACTATAAAACACATATCATGCTAGCTGTTTACTATATAAGTTAGGGAAAACGCTGTACAGGTGCATGGCTATAAATAGAGAGTATAAATGGCACATTTGGGAACCGCTATCTACAAGGGGGAAGGTCAGGGGAGGGATCAGTTTGGTATCACAACCTGTTAAGATGGTGAAGCTGGGATGGGGAAGGACAGGGTCTTGGCGCTCGGCTTCACCCACTCCCCTTTCCCAGACACCAATGCAGCTCATGAGAAGTGGGTTGTTGGGAGTGAGGAACAGTGGAGGAAATGATGTAAATACAACATGGGTTTCCAGAAGGCATACTCAGGACAAGAACGAGCACAGCCCTTGGTCCCACAGACACACCTGAGCCCCATAGCTACTTGATGATCACGGTTCTGTGGGCAGCCCAGCCATGCCCTGGTTTCTTCCCTGGGAGAAAATTTCTGAGCTTAGTGGGCGTGGAGAGGGGGCAGGACATAAAACCTCATCTATGGAGTAGTGGGAGAAAGTTTGGAAAGAGGTTCTGGCTTAGATTCCAATATATGCATGCATGAGTGGATGGATGATGGTTGGAAGCTGACCACTAAAAGCTGATCCAGAAACTTGGTTGCTCACAGAGAGTGAGAAGTAGGCAGCAGAACTACTCTGTACTCACTCAGATAGTTTCTGGGATTCAAGGTGGCAGCAGTAGAGGGAGGGACTTGGAGAACCCGCATATCTTATTCCAAATGATTCAACACCATGTGATGGACAAAAAGGGGGGGAGGGGCGATTTTTACCTGCTCCACTATGCTTTTGCCACAATTTGTCAATCTGGCTTCTGAATTAGGCAAATTAAGAGCCTAAGGTACTTTAGGCAGATAATGCATCTCCCCAGATGAGCCCAACTTGGGAACAGGACCTCTCCTTCTCTGACTTAGGAAGACTAGAGGAGCAGGCAAGACACAGCATGTTGTGAATCTCTGTAGCTCAGATGTGGCTCCCATTCTGGAAACCTCCTAGCTACAGAACCTAAGCTACCTCGCTGTCTCAAGGTAAAAATGAACAATGATCAGTATTTGAGTGCAGGGACACAGCAGTTAAACTGGTTGGACTAGCCTCACCTGCCCAGGTGAGGAGACACTGACAGTGTATTTGTGGAGTACTAGGACCACACCTGTGGTCCTCTCCAGGTTTCCATGAATGACATATTATTATGTTACTTCTCCTGAACTGAGCTGATTGGGGCAAGGGTACCTGGGAGCAGCTGCCCTTGAGATATGGTTGAGCTTCACCACAATAAAGAAAAATATATGTGTATGCATGTGTTTGTATGCATAAGTATACATGCACCTTTGAGAACCTTCCATAAATTCCTCCCTTGAGCTTTTTCCTTCTGAAGAGGATGGTTTGAATCTGAAAATAGGTCCTAGTGACCAACCCCTAGGTGTGCAGGTGGGTGTGATCATCTGTCTAGCCAGGTTTCAGTGTCAAATTCTCATTCCATGTTGTCCTGTTCCTTCCTGGGAGAGGAGGACCAAGGGAGCAGGGGCTGAGATAAAACAACCCTACAGGTGGTTTACTGGGCTAAGGAGAATGAGAGTTAGGACTGATGTCAACTCCATTTCTCAGTGAAAGGCGTGCATTAGCGTATAGGACTCGGGGTCCCTCCTCCCCTCTCTTAGCAGACCCCTAAAATGCTGTGCTGCTGGAGATGGTCTTCACACCCATGGTATCGACTTGGGACTTGACCTCATCCTGGGTCTCTCTGCTCATGGATATGTTATTGAAGGCGTTGGGGGCCTTGATGGGGGTCTTGATGGGGATGTCTTTAGAGTGCTCCTGCCCCTCCTCCAGGTCCTTGCAGCATTTGCTGCAGCGGCAGCACTTGCAACAGCCACAGAGCATGCAACACACACGGCAGCAGCAGCAGCAGCGTCTCTGGCAGCAGTTGGTAAGCAGGGAGATGAGATGATCCCAGGGCTTCAGCGAGTGCATCCACAGGGGCAGGAAGTCCCAGTTCCGGAGCTTGCGGGGCAGGATGCGTGGGCAGCGGGACTGCAGGAGCCGGATAAACACCACCAGGAGCAGCAGAAAGATGATGGGCACGCCCACTCCCACCAGCACTTGCCAGCCAGCCAGTGAAAGGCCAAACACTGTCAGCGGGATGAGGAAGAATAAGAAGACCAGGTAGAAGATGGCGAACCAACGGTACTTGGCAGAGATGTTGCCCAGCCCCTTGGCCAGGCGGATAGGCAAGCGGGTGAGCGGGATCGGGTACCACAGCAAGATGCCAGAGACGTTGAAGAAGAAGTGGCACAGGGCAATCTGAAACATGAGAGGTTGGGCAGGTAAACAGGCGTGTCTGTTGCATGGTTAGGGTTGGGCCAGGGGAGAAGGTCATTCTATCAACAACAAGAGCTCAGCAAGGGAACAAAGGTTCAGCTGGGAGTCAGCATCAGCTCAGACCAGCTAACAGTCCAGTTACACAACTGTCCATCCACAAATGGACAGAGATGACTTGTCTCCAAGTAGGAACAAAAGCTTAATTCTGGGCATAAGAATCAAGGAAGTTCATTTTTTCTCCAATATCTCCTCTGAGGAGTTCCACAATGGTAATTTCCTCACAAATTATTTTGTTTTAAAAGGTAGCTTGGTGATATACATCTCATCATATCGGGGAATACCACACAGCGATAAAAAAAGAATGAACTACTGATATATGCTGCATGGATGAAGCTGCAAGACCTAAGGAGCCAGGCATAAAACAGTGCATTCTGCAGGTAGTTCCTGACTTACAACAGAGTTCCATTCCGACGTCGGTTCTGACCTAAATTGAATACTTCATTTTTTTTTAGTTTTTATTGTTGCCTTTTATTATCAATATCTTTATTAATCCAGTCTATATTTGTCTTTGGGGTTTGGAAACATTACATCTGAGAATGATAACATCAGCAAATTATGAGCTGTAACATTATATGTAGTACATATTACTAACGTAAGTGCAGTTCGTCGTTACTTGAATATGTCATAAATCGGGGCTACCTGTATATATTTCCATTTTATATGAAGCTCAAAAACAGGCAAAAACTAATCTATGACGAAGTTAGAATCATAGTTACTCTTTGGCAGCAAAGCAAGGTGTACTGACTGGGAGGAAGCTTAAGGGAGACTTTAGAGGTGTTGGCGATATTATTTATATTGCTTAGGGTAGTGGTAGTATGGGACTGCATATGCGTAAAAATTCAGCTGTCCTTCTAGCATTTGTACCTCGATTAAAAAAGTAAAAATGTAGTTTGGTTTAAATAAAATAGAGAGTATGAGTAATAAAAAGTTTAAAAGATGGCATTTGGCATTCAAAAGCCAGCAAAGACTTACTAAGAAGATTGGGGAGCCCTCGTGGTGCAGTGGTTAAGAGCTATGGCTGCTAACCAAGAGGTCGGCAGTTTGAATCCACCAGCTGCTCCTTGGATACCCTATGGGGTAGTTCTACTCTGTCCTAAAGTGTCACTGAGTCTCAACAGACTTGACAGCACCTAAGACCAGCAATAACAAGAGGATTGGGTTTTGTTTTGGAAACCAGTAAGAAAGTTCTGTTTTGAAACTGAATTGCATTGTTTTACATCCTAAATCAAATTTCTCTTGGATCTTGGATGGGACCCATGAGCCAATTTCTAAAGCAGTCTTCACATCCAAAAAACCCATTGCCATCCAGTCAATTCTGACTCAGCAGCCCTACAAGGCAATTAATGTCTGTACCCTCTTGTCCCCATCCCCTGTCCCCATCCCAGGTTATCTTCTTGGCCTCCTCAGCCAGAGGGAGAGGAAGTTAAAAGAAAAAATAAAATCCACCCACCCAAGTCTGCACCCTGCCAACCCTCTTGGTCAGTCCTCTCTGCCTGGAATCCTTCCCCTATCCAATCCACTGAAATTCTCCCTGTCCTTCAAGGTCCTCTAACAACGAATTTCATGAATTTGCCCATTGCTTGCTCCTACTGCTTCCACCTCTTAACTGCTCGGCAGAGGAAATTTTGAGAACAAAATAAACTTTCTTGAATCATATGCCCCAAATCAAGCTTGTATTCTTACTAGGAGACAAGTCACGCTTGTCCATTCACGAACTGGGCAGAAGAAAAGACTTATAGAGCAGCTAATTTTGTGGCCCAATAGCCTCATTCTAGGGAGAGGAGAGACAAAGAAAGGATGTTAACCTACTGAAAAACAAAACAAAACAAAACAAAACAAAACTGTAATAGCAGCAGCATAGATGTTTCTGGAGAGTTTAGTACATGCCAGGCACTGTTTAAGGCACTTTATGTGGATTATATCAATTAATTCTCAAAAAATACCCCATGAAGTGGCAAATATTATCCTCATTTGATATATACCCTTGAGGTTAAGCTATTCTTACAAAGACACACAGGAGGGATAGCGTAGAGGTGGGATTCCATCCAGGTAGGCTGGCTCAGAGCCCGTACACTTGGGCTTTTCTGGCTCTGGACCAGCCCTGTTCCAGAGTAGCCACATGCGCACTGAGCACTTGAAATGTGGCCAGTCCCAACGGAGATGTGCTGTAAGTCTAAAACACACGTGGGATTTCAAAGATTTAGCACAAAACATAATCTAAAATATCTCACAAATTTTTATGTTGCTTACATATTGAAATGATAATGTTGAATATACTGGGTTAACTAAACTACATTACTAAAATTCAATATCTGCATTCCTTTTTACTTTTTAAAAATGTGACAACTCACTAATTGTACATGTAAAAATGTTGAATTGTCAAATGTTGTATTACATATATTTTTACCACAATTTTCTAAAAGTGTGACTACTAAAAAACTTTAAATTACGTATGTGGCTCATATTTGTGACTCACGATGCATCCACTGGCAGCAGTTTGGACAATGTCTTTATCGAATTGTTATAATAATCCTAATGAGATAGGCATTATGTTCCTCATTTTTCAGATGAGGGAATTGATGGTCAGAGAGGTTAGGCACTTGTCCAAGGTCACACAGTGAGTAAATTGTGGGCCAGGATTCAAATCCCTGGAAGACTGACTCCAAACGAGTGATATAACTTGCTCAAGGTCACCTAGTTGGATCTGGGCAAGGCAGGTGCCCTGATCCTTCTTCTCATGCCAGACCCAGGCCCCAGGGTGCCTCCCTGGTGACTGACAAGGTGGAGTGCACCCAAGAGGGGGGCAAGGAGATGGGAGGCAGTGTCTGTGCTGCCTAAACACACTTTCCAGTCTCTATCAAGTGGTCACTCAACCTTTGTTTAAGCCATTGCCAGTGATGGGAATGTTGCTACCTCCCCAAGGAGAATAGCTTTGACTGTTCTGAGATTGAGCTCCTGGACACTATCTCCCAGTGGCTTCTCCTCCATACCTTAGTTCCACCTTTTAAACCTAGCAGGTAAAAGCCTGACTCTTGTTAGAAACCATCAGCTTGCAAGATTAAGGGATATAGCTATATGGTTATATCCTCCCAACCCCCCACAAAGCCTTTGCCCCATGCAGCATGTCCTCACCTGGAGTGAACTCTTTAAGGTACTGCCTGGGCTGGCTAAGGCAGCCAGGATGGAAGTGGTGGTGGTGCCAATGTTGGAGCCCAGTGTGAGTGGGTATGCCCTCTCAATGGTTATCACACCGATGCCTGGGAAAAAAACACAAAGACCATAGCATCAGTCCCAAGGGATGATGGGAGATGGCAACAACAGCCAGAGGGAGGAGCCAGGGGGAAGAGAAAGTGGAAAACTCACCAATCAGCGGGGTCATGGCAGACGTGAACACGGAGCTGCTCTGCACGATGAAGGTCATTCCTGCTCCCACAAAGATGGCCAGGTAGCCAGTCAACCAGGCAAAGGGAAAGGGGAAATCTGGAAGACAGAAGGTACAGGACGGAGGGTGGGTTGGCAACTCCAGAGGAGCCCAGGTCAGGGACTGGGCTAGGGGGTTAGGTTATGAAGTTGCCTTTCCACCCTACACCATGGTCTGAGAGTGCAAAGCTTCTTTCCCTGTTGCCTTTCATCCTGCATTTTCGTGATGTGGGTGTGGTGTTATGTGAGTGAAGACAAAAACAAATTTGTTGGAGGTCAGAGGCTAGAAATGCTGCACCCACCCAAATACCCTCCCACAAAACACTCAAAGCACCCAGACTTGTGAGCGCCTCCCAAGCCTGTTCTCCCATTACTGCACAATCCCTACCTTTGTTTCCACCTAAAGGAGAATCAAGAACATGCACCAGCTTGGGACAAGCCAGCCCTCCACACTGCTAACACAGGATCGGGCTCCCCACACCCAGGAAGCCCCCAAAATCACCAAATTCACCCACATGACAACCTGTGAGGCAGATTTTCTTGCCCCATTTCATGGAGATTTCACAGGATGTTGATGTCACCAGCTAGGACACTATACTCAGCAGGATCTCCTCTTGGCCAGTGGTATCTCATTGGCTGCCTCTAGATGTGGATGTATTTATCCAGAGCAGCATATTCTTCCCAAAAGTAGAAGGAAAGTGGGGACCAGATGGACACTTGTTACCCCTTTCCTAAGGGCCCCAGAGGACCCAGGAAATCCTGGGCATATAGAAAACCAGCCGGGAAAGAAGGCCTAACTCGTAGTTCACTGAATTTTACCTGGCTCCTTCTCAGGACTTTATCAATATGGGATGGAACTTTGTGCCTGCTCTCCAGGGCCACACCCAAGATACCAAGGAAAATTTCAGGGGGGGGTTGCCATCTTAATGTCTGCAGGCTCTCAGATCCAAGAGAGAAATCCCATGTAGAGGCCACTGCTCAGTGGAAATCAAAAAGATTCCTTTGTGGGTAGACAGTGACACTATCCCCTGGAAGGCCCAGAATGGGAGGGTGAGATTACCTACCAGTGTTGAGGGTCTTCTTGATGACAAGAGCAACCTGCCCCTTGAGCACAGAGTTGAGGAGCTTGACAATCATGATCAGGCAGGCACAAAGGACCAGCAGGGAGATTATCAGTAAGATAACGCCAATGGCAACATCTGGGAGGTTGAGATTCACGAAGATGTGCTGACCTAGAGAGACCACAGAAGGACCCTGTCAGGAGGACACAGCCACACGTGGTACATGTTGCTATTTATTCCCCAACATCCTTCTCTCTCATAGTAACACCAGTTGTTAGCTTGGCACATGGCAGCCCAGGATAAAGACCCCATTTCCCAGCCTTCCTTACCGCTAAATCTGACTCCAAGGCTACGTTCTGGTGATTGGGAACTCAGTGCATGTGACATATGCACGTTGGGGCAGTGCTCCTAGACAGAAGATGTGAGCTGTCCTTTTTCTCCCCCTTCTCAATAGCAAAGATACAGATGTGTCACAGACAACATCCCAGGAATACAAATTATCAAGATAGGAGTTTGCTATAGAAGAATCCTGATCAAAAGGGGGAAAATGCAAAACAGAATTTCAAATTCTAATGGAATCTAGACTTTCTAGAGCCATGAAGGCTGGATAAACTGACAAAACTATTGCTCTGAGAGAACCATTAAACTTTAAACCAAAAATATTCCCTGAAATCTTCTTAAATCCAAACAATTTTGGATTTTTTAGTCTACCTAGTAAAGAATGGCTACCTTGAGCTTTGTGCTCTTTTAACAACTACCTATATGGGATCAAACTGACAACAGCAACTTAACAAATTGGATAGGAAACTTAGGAGACAGTGAATTTGTGTTAATGGGGTAGGAATAACTAAGAAAAGGAGGGTTGGAATGGTTGCACAACTTGAAGAATACAATTAATGTCAATGAATTGTCCATACAGAAATTATTGAATTGGTATATGTTCTGCTGTGTATATTCTCTACAACAACAAAAAATAAAATTAAAAATAAAGAAGGATATTGGCTCTAAGGATACCACAAGGCCACCAAGCCAACACTGGACTGCTTATACCTGCGTTATATGAGGGAGAAACACTTCCCCCTTGTTTAAGTCAGTGTTCCAGCAGCCAAACCTATCTTTGAAGTAGAATACCAAGTCCCTGTAGAAATGTCTATGTGAATACGTAGAAGTGTCTATATGAAAGACGTAGGATTTAGGAAAGGCTCTTCATTACAGAGTAATCCTAAGGAGGGTATTTAAGCATCTACTTTATTGGCGGGCTAAGCCACTTTTCAAAATAACTCTAATGTTGGTGTTGTTGTTAGGTGCCGTCAAGTCAGTTCCAACTCATAGCGGCCTTATGTACAACAAAACAAAACACTACTGGGCCTTGCACCATCCTCACAATCATTTCTATGTTTGATCCCACTGTTGCAGGCACCGTTTCAATCAATCTTGTTGAGGGTCTTCATCTTATTGGTTGATCCTCTAGTTACCAAGCATGATGTCCTTCTACAGGAAGTGGTCCCTCTTGATAACATGTCCAAAGAACTTGAGACGAAGTCTCTCCATCCTTGCTTCTAAGGAGCACTCTGACTATACTGCTTCCAAGACAGATTTGTTCATTCTTCTGGCAGTCCATGGTATATTTAATATTTTTCGTTAACACTATAATTCAAATTCATCAATTCTTCTTTGGTTTTCCCTATTCATTGTCCATCTTTCACATGCAAAAGAAGCAATTGAAAATACATGGCTTGGGCCAGGCACACCGTAGCCCTCAAAGTGACATCTTTACTTTTTAACACTTTAACGAGGTCTTTTACAGATTTGTCCATGCAATACGTCATTTGATTTCTTGACTGCTGCTTCCATGGGCATTGATTGTGGATCCAAGTAAAATGAAATCCTTGACAACTTCAGTCTTTCTCCATTTATCATGACTTTGCTTATTGGTCCAGTTGTGAGGATTTTTGTTTTCTTTATGTTAAGGTGTAATCCATACTGAAGGCTGTAGTCTTTGATCTTCATCAGTAAGTGCAGTCCTCTTTGTTTTCATCAAGCAAGGTTGTGTCATCTGCATAATGCAGGCTGTTAATGAGTCTTCTTAAATCCTGATGTCACGGTTTTCTTCATATAGTCCAGTTTCTCAGCTTATTTCCTTAGCATACAGACTGAATAAGCATGGTGAAAGGATACAATCCTGACACACACCTTTCCTGATTTTAAGCCACACAGTATCCCCTTGTTCTGTTTAAACGACTGCCTCTTAATCCATGTACAGGTTCCTCATGAGCCAAATTAAGTGTTCTGGAATTCCCATTCTTGCAATGTTATCTATAATTTGGTATGATCCACACAGTCTAACACCTTTGCATAGTCAATAAAGCACAGGTAAACATCTTTCTGGTATTCTCTGCTTTCAAGCCAAGATCCATCTGACATCAACAATGATATCCCTCATTCCACATCCCCTTCTGAATCTGGTTTGAATTTCTAGCAGTTCCCTATCAATGTACTGCTGCAACTGTTTTTGAATTATCTTTAGCAAAATTTTATTGTGTGTGGTATTAATGATATGATTTTCCCATTCCTTTGGATCACCTTTCTTTGGAATGGGAACAAATATGGATCTCTTCCAGCTGGTTGACCAGGTAGCTGTCTTCCAAATTTCTTGGCATAAGCAAGTGAGCACTTTCAGCATTACATCCGTGTGTTGAAATATCTCAGTTGGTATTCTGTCAGTTCCTGGAGTCTTGTTTTTCTCCAATGTCTTCAGTGCATCTTAGACTTCTCCCTTCAATACCATCAGCTTTTGATCATATGCTACCTCCTAAAATTGTTGAATGTTGACCAGTTCTTTTTGGTACAGTGACTCTGTGTATTCCTTCCATCTTCTTTTGATGCTTCCTGTACCGTTCAGTATTTTGCCCATAAAATCCTTCACTTTTGCAACTCGAGGCTTGAATTTTTGAATTTTTTTCTTCAGCTCTTTCCACTTAACAAATGCTGAGCGTGTTCTTCCCTTTTGGTTTTCTAATTCCAGGTCTTTGTACATTTCATTATAATACTTAGTCTTGAAGAGCTGCCCTTTGAAATATTCTGTTCAGCTTTTTTACTTCATCATACCTTCTGTTGGATTTATCTACTCTACTACATTCAAGAGTCTCTTCTGACATTCATTTTGGTCTTTCCTTTCTTTCCTGTCTTTTTTTTTAATGACCTTTTGCTTTCTTCATGTATGATGTCCTTGATGTCATTACACAACTCGTCTGGTCTTCGGTCGTATGTCAAACCTATTCTTGAGATGGTGTCTAAATTAAGGTGGGATATACTCACCATTGTACTTTGGCTCTGGTGGACTTGTTTCCATTTTCTTTAGCTTCAATTTGAATTTGCATCTGAGCAATTGATGATCCGTTCTACAGTCATCTCCTGGCCTTTTTCCAGCTGATAATAGTTAGCTTCTCTATTGTCTCTTTCCACAGTGTAGTCGATTTGATTCCTGTGTTTTCCATCCAGCGAACTCCACATGTATAGTTGCCATTTATGTTGTTGATGAAAGGTATATTTCCAATGAATGGGTGATTGGTTTTGCAAAATTCTATCATGCAATCTTCAGCGTTTTATCACCGAGACCATATTTTCCAACTATTGATCCCTCTTTTTTTCCAACTCTCAAATTCCAATCACCAGTAATTATCAACGCATATTGATTTCATGTTTGATGAAATTCAGGCTGCATAAGTTGGCAAAAATCTTCAATTTCTTCATCTTTGGTATTATTGGTTGGTGTGTAAATTTGAATAATAGTCATATTAACTGGTATTCCTTGTAGGAGTATGGATAGCATCCTAGCACAACTCAAAATGAGAAGAAACAGCTGCAAACATCTATTAGTAATTGGAACAAGGAATGTGTGAAACATGAATCTAGGAAAATTGAAAGTTGTCAAAAATGAAATGGAACACTTGAAGATCGAAATCTAGGCATTAGAGAGCTGAAATGGACTGGTATTGGCCGTTTTGAAATCAGATAATCATATGGTCTACAGTGCCAGGAATGACAAATTGCATATGTGTGGCATTACATTTTTTTGTCAAAAAGAACATTTCAAGATCTATCCTGAAGTACAATGCTGTCAGTAATAGGATAATATCCATATGCCTATAAGGAAGACCAGTTAATACGACTAGTAACTTTAATAGCTTCTAACATTTATTGAGTATGCACTATGTGCCAAGCACTCACATAATCTATGCTTCACAAAACCCAACAAGGCAGAATTTTAATTATTGCCATCTTACAGATGGTGGGCTCAGAGAGGTTAAATCCAAGGTTACACTTCTAGAAGGTGGTGAAGCTGGGATTCAAACCCAGCGTGTATCTATTTCATTGATATCATGCTTCACAGTTTATAGAGATGTTTTCTCATGAGGCTGGAAGATGAAGTGAGGTCCTTAAGGTCACAAAGCTAGTCAGGGACAACTCCAGCCAGTCCTACCTCTACATCTCATGCTGTTGTTTACTCATACTATGGAGAATACTTTCAACAAAGCATATGAGGAGCAAAGTGGGGTTGGATAAGAAAGTCAGAGCCGGGGATATTGCTAATTGTAAAATCCTTTGTTTTTCAAAATCTCTTTGTCCCCATGATAATTCCAGAAAACCATGGTTATATCAATAGATACACAGCACTGAGAACACGGGAGGTAATAAGCTCACTTGATTCTCTGGGGGAAATCACACCTAAAGTATTATGTTTAATTCCGGGCACTATATATTGGAGCCCTGGTGGCACAGTGGTTGACAGCTATGGCTGCTAACAAAGGTCAGCAGTTCAAATCCACCAGCTGCTCCTTGGAAAGGATATGGGACAGTTCTACTCTGTCCTATAGGGTCACTATGAGTGAGAATCGATTCGATGGCAATGAGTAAATCTTAGAGAAGCAGGATATACAAATGGGTATATACTCAGGATGGAATAGATCATTTGCCAACTTCTTTGGAGGTTGTATGGTACAGACAGCATGAGCTTTGGAGTGGGAAGAAGCACCGGGCTTCGAGTCCCAGTTTTGCCCTTGACTGTGGGACCTAACTCACCTCAGTCCCTAAGCCTTAGTTTTCTCTGCTGTGAAAGCCCAGTATACGGTAGGTGTTCAGTGAAGCTTACTGCCCTTCTTTCCTTCATTTACTGGGGCACACACAGATAAGAAACACCTGTCAGCCTCCCAGATAGCCCATCCTAGGGGCCGATGCCCTGCTGAGTTCCACTCACATTTGGCGATGTTCTTCTCATAGGTCATGTTCTTCATGGTCCAGAATTGGAGACCAGCCGGGCAGAGGGAAGGGGAAGAGCAGTTCTCAGATGAGGGAACGGTGACATTCTTCTCGGTCTGGACAGCAAACATAAGAAATTGTATGGTCCCTAACATTCACTTTTGGTGGGGAGTGGGAGGCAATGCGGGGGACCGAAGGAGATGTTATACTTATTGGTGTACACAACGGCTCAATAGTATCGTTTGCTTTATTTTAAAGACGTGCTATTTTAATTTTTTTAAGGTTCCAGTTATTGTAAATATAAGATGGGACTTTTGAGCCTTTATAAACTATTCTCATTGGTCTCTGCCTGCTGATGTTGCTGCTCCATCTTTATTGGAAAAGCTCTTAGAACAACTGGGGACAGACAAAAGCTACCTTCACACCTACTCCTGTATTTCTTTTCATCTCCATGGTTAGCACCTCTCAAAAACACACATATACACCCTACACACAAAGGTAAGCTGTAAACCTGCCGCAAAGCAGGCTAGGCCAGTTTCCCTGACAAAGGAGGAAAAGGATGCTATGGGCCTTCTGAGGAGGAACACACAAGTTCCTGGTGGAACCTTCCAGAGAGGCAGGTGAGAGAGACGCCACCATCTGCCAGCACCTGAAGATCATGAGGATGCACTATTTCCATGGGCCCCTCCATAAATGGGATCAGATGTGTAGCCAGAGGTGAGCCAGGAATACGTATCTGAGTTGTGGGATGGGGCAAAAGGGCACCTGTCTGTCCTGTCTGTGATACTGGTTAAGCCAACCCAGCAGACAATTCCTCACTGTGGAACCTCACTGGTCAGTTTTGATTTTCAAGAGCTAATTCTTTTTCTTGCCCCTTGCCTTCTAGTTGCCTTCCTTGAATAAATGCTTAAAGTTCAGGTGCTATTCTTAGACACTTACCACATTGGTAAAAGTCTGGCACCAAATCTTGACCAGACTCTTGTTTTGGGCTGTTTCATCTTTCATCGCGATTTGGTTGATAACCTTTTTATCCAGCTGAGGAAGATAATAGAAAGAAAAGGTTTGGAGGAGATTAACAAAACCATGAGCTCCTTCAGGGGTGAATTGGGATGCATTCTGCCTGCCCTCCCAGGGTGCAGTCTAGTACCTAGAAGTTAGCAGGTGCTTGATGTATCAATGAATGATTGTATGAACAAAGGAACTGGTATCTAGGGAGCATGTAGTTGTTGGATGAGTAAATGACAGAGCAAGGCCCAAGCTGGTGTCTTCTCCCAAAGGAACATCACACAGCCTACTTTCATTTCAATAACTTGGAAAGACCCTAGTGAGAGGCATTGGTGGTTCAGTGATAGAATTCTCACCTTCCATGCAGAAGACGAGAATTTGATTCTCGACCAAGGTACCTCATGTGTAGCCACCCCCTGTCAGTGGAGGCTTGCATGTTGCTACGATGCTGAACAGGTTTCAGCAGAGCTTCTAGGCTAAGATGAACTAGGAAGAAAAGCCTAGTAATCTATTTTGAAAATCAGCCAGTAAAAACTCTGTGGATCACAATGTTCTGATCCCATTGTACGTGGGGTCATCATGAGTCTGGGGCCAACTCAACTGCAGCTAACAACAACTGGTGACCAGAGGGGTGAGATGACCCCCAGCAGTAAAGGCAGGTGGTAAACTTCCTCTTTGGCTAGTGGTAGAGTAAGTGGGCTGTATGTTTTCTCTGGAATCCATAGGTAGTACAAACTATTAATCCTTTCTAGGTCCAATTATTTTCTGCTTTGATTTTTTTTTTTTTTTTTTTGATACCATATGTTCTCATTAATGGAAGCATGCTGAGTCAGGGAGTGTGTTTAAATTTTTGGTTCATAGTATGGATTTTGAGAAATATTATCTGGCACTACATGGTTACCACAGGACTTTTAAGGTCCTCAAACCCATAACTATGCTCGCCTGTCTGTACCACCAGACCTTGGTTGTTGATGTTTGCCTTCCATTAGGTTACACAGTGAACTGTGCTTTTTCAAACATGATACAAAGAAAAAAAACAAAAAAAAAAAACAAACTACCAGGGCTCCCTAACTATCTCACCAAATCAAACCAAACCTACTGCCATGGAGTCGATTCTGACTCACAGAGACCCTATAGGATAGAGTAGAACTGCCCCATCGGGTTTCCAAGGTTATAATCTTTATGGAAGTAGATTGCCACAACTTTATGCAGCAGAGCTGCTGGTAGGTTCGATCTGCCAACCTTTCCATTAGCAGCCAAGTGCTTAACCACTGCACGAAAGGAAATCATAAATATGCTTACAAGGCTTATCTAGAGGTACAAAAGCCAAAAGAGACAAAACTTTTACCCAGTCACACTTCATGGTTACACTACCTTACTTGTAAACCTCAGACTCTAGCTATTTTACTTCAACTAACATTTCTTTTGCCTTTTGCCATTATGCAAGTCCCCATTTAAAAAAAAAAGAAAAGTTGCTGTCGAATCGATTCTGACTCATAGTGACTCTATAGGACAGAGTAGAACTGCCCCATAGGTTTTCCAAGGAGAGGCTAGTAGATTTGAACTGCTGACCTTTCAGTTAGCAGCCAAATGCTTAACCACTGTACCACTAGGGCTTCCAAGTTCCCACTGGCAGGTAAGAAATACAATGGTAAAAGTATACTATCAAAGAACCTGAGAGCTGGAAAAAGTGGGTGGTACACCATATATACCACAGACCATGAAAATCATGCACTCAGCTGGAGATTTGAGTCCACCTAGATGTGCCTCAAAGAAAGGTCTAGCAATCTACTTCCAAAAATCAGCCATTGCAAATCTTATGGAGCACAGTTCTACTCTGACTCACATGGAGTTGCCATGAGTTGGAATTGTCTCAACAGCAACTATTTGTTTTGTTTTTCTTTTTTTCCATTTTCTCTAAGTCATTACTTTTAGTGAACCCACTGGTATTGAGAATAGAAGTGGGAACATCACAGCACCAAAGTATCCCCAGATGTCCAATGGAAAGTCCTTGAGTCTCTTAAGAGGCATTTCCTCTCCCTCAAAATAAAGATGACACAGGTGTTGAAGTCAAGGAAATAAGAAAGGCCAATTACTTTCTCAGGTGTCCCCAAAGCTCCACCTTCCTTGGCTTGTTTCAGAAGTAGTCAAGAGCTGTGTTTACAGACCCACCCACCCTTCACCTTGTCTTCCTGGCTGGTTGGGGTAAGGGCAGTTAGGTTCTTCCCCTTCTCTGAAGGAAGCTGGCTTACCTGGATAATGAGCTTTGTGAAGGGATCTGTAATGACTTTCAAAAGTTCTGGGGCATCTTCGCCATTCTTGAATTGGAAGCTGTCCACCACAACGTTGGTCAGGGTCTCCAGGTAATGGGTGGCGGCCTCCAGAGGCAAAAGCACAAACACAGACAGCCAGTTGAAGAAGTCGTGGACAGTGGCCCCTGCAAAAGCCCTGCACAAGGGGAACCCCACCAAGCCAACAGTCAGATTACTCAGCAAGCAAGTGGACATGATCTAGGGAGGTCATTACTTGTACCATCTGCTACCATCTGTTACGGGTCCCATATCTGTACACATGTGTAAAATCTCATTTTCATTCTTACAATGATCCCAAAGTGGGTGTTATTAATATCCCTATTCAACAGATGAGGAAACTGAGGGCTGGCAAGCACAGGGGATGTGAAGACCACTGTATAGGCTCTGGGTCCAGGACCCTTGTCTCTACTCCTAGGCAGAACTTTTCTTACCAAATCAGAGAGCACTCAGCTGGGAGCCTCTTATGCTTGGGCGAAACATGTTCTATACATGTTCTCTTACAGCTGTTTCGAAGAATTACATCAAGACCACTAGTGAGTCACACATATTGAATGGAGACAAACTTCCTTGGGAACTGTCGCAATCAGTATGAAAGTAACCATAGATATCCTCTACACAAGAGAATTCTTAGCTTTAAAACAAAAGAATCTAAGATCATGCCTCCTTTGGAGAATCTCATGAAACACATGAACAGTTTCCATAGGAAACAAGACTCATACGTGCCACTCTCTGCATCTATCTGAGCAGGATCACAGATCCCCCTGAATTCCACCCCTCCATGCCCAGGTTAAGAAACTCTGATCTACATTTTTTCCTCAATGAAAAAATTTCCTTTAAAAAACATCTGCATGTCGAAAAAACTCCCCAAACCAAAAGTGTAAACTTGAAAATGGATATAAACAGTAGCAGCAGCAGCTAATAACCGTGAAGGGAGAATAAATGCTGAGCTTCACTAGTAAGTAAAGAAATTAGAAGTGCAAATTTTCACCTATCATAATAGCAAATATTTTTTTTTAATAACTTTTTGTTGCTGGAGAGGGTGATTTAAGGGAGATGTAGTCATACACTGTTGGTGTGTGTAAAGTAATACAAATATGTTGCAGTAATTTGGCAAAATGTCTTAAGAGCCATAGATGTTTGATATGGTAATTATTGTTCTAGTAATCTATCTAAGGAAACAGTCCAGGAGAGAAAGAAAAAAAACACATATCCAAAGAAGTTACTGAAAACAATCTATTTAAATATGTCCAAATAGAGGCTAGCTAAGTCAAGTATATTCCTATATATCAGGAACCTTGGCAGGTCTCATGTTTTCACATTTCTTATTTCATAAGTGAATGCTACCCTAAGGCAAAAATTGGTGGAACAGTGGAAGGAATCCAAGATCTGGTGTAAGAAGACCTGGAATGAGTCCAAGCTACACCCTACAGTAAAGTCACTTAGCCTCTTTGAGCCTCAGTTTCCACATTCACAAAATGGGCATAGAAATTGTTGAATTGCTAGATGTTCTGCTGCATATTTTTTCAACAACAACAAATAAATTATTTTAAAAAACGGGCATAGAAATGCCAACCCTGCCTCATACTTTAGCAGGGACCAAGGAGGTTCTCCAAGGCTCGTGGGAAACGAGGACATCCCTGAGGATGTGTCCACTGTCCTGGGCCAGTTTGCAAGACACAAGGGATGACGTTTGCAGTCTCCCTAACCCACCCGCTTCAGTGCTATCTGCCTGACCCACACAGTGACAGCATCACCTAGGCGAGATGCAAATATCCTTAGTCTGCCGTGCTCATTGCTCTTTATATATATTTTAATAAGCTCTGATAAAAGCCCATCGCCAGTTAGAGAGGCCAAAAAATATGCTTAATTTCCACATTAACCTTTTTGCAAGAAATAGTTCCCTCTGCCTGCATTCAAACAACCCCGTTTTCACATCTTACGCGGCCACGAAAGCTATATTTTGCCTTTTGTTGGAATGCAAGTGAAGAACAAATAAAAAGTGGCAAGGGTTGAGCTGGCCAAAAATGGAAGCTATAGAAGTTATAATTATTTATGACTAAGCAGGACTGTAAATCCTACCCTAATTGGCCTGGTTTTAACTACACCATGCGGTAGGCAGGCTTAGAGCTAGAGCTTCCTTCTATTGAGCCCTGACTATGTGCCACGCACCTTGCTAAGCACATCCATATATAATCGGGTTTAATCCTCAGGACAATACTGCAGTGATAGATACTGTCATTAACTCTGCTACGCAGATAAATAAGCTGAGGCCCAGGGAGTGTAATTAACTGTATGTGATCCCAACCCTCAGCTATACACCACCGCAGCTACTGCTAGGAGCCCCAGCAATGAGAATACGTGTTCTCATTGGCTAATATGGCCCCAAACAATAGGCCTGACAGTGGCAAAGGTTGATTCGGAGCCTCCTACCTTCGGAACTCATTCCGGTCTCCTGCCTGCATGAATGCCACGATGGTGTTGGTGATGGAGGTCCCAATGTTGGCCCCCATGATGATGGGGATGGCAGCTCGCACAGTCAACACTGGAGGGTGGAAAAGAAGGTGAGCAAGTTCAGGAAGGAGGACTGTGGTGGTTCAGTGGTAGAATTCTCGCCTTCCATGTGAATGACCTGAGTTCGAGTCCCGGCCAATGCACCTCATGCACAGCCACCACCCATCTGTCAGTGGAGGCTTGCATGTTGCTATGATGTTGAACAGGCTTCAGCATAGCTTCCAAACTAAGGCAGACTAGAAAGAAAGGCCTGGTGATCTACCTCCTAATGAAAACATATGGATTACAAGAGTCTGATCCTGTTGTGCATAGGGTCACCATGAGTCAGGTCTAAGAAGAATAAAAAGTTCAGGAAAGCAGCCTGGCTGTGTTTCAGATAGCCGCGGGCCCAAGGCGAACCTGAGCTCATTCAAGCTGGTAATCCCTGAAAGCAGCTGTTCTTAACCTACTTGGGGTTATGTGCCTCATTGTGAGTCTGATGAAAGCTAGGGCAGCTCACCATAGAAATATGCACACGTGTCACCAGAAAAAAAAATTTGGCACACAATTTTGGAGAATTCACAGATCCCCTGAACATTTCTTCAGATCCCAGTTTAAAAATGCCTTTCCAAAATTCTCTGTCCTCCCTATTACAGGTGCAAGGCTAGATTAAAGACACCAGGAAACAGCCAATGTTTAAGGACAAAATCAGTCTACTACCAAAATTTTCTGACATATGGAGGTAAATCATTTTGAAGCTGTAATGCCTTTTTTTCTAACTTAACTAATGCCCACTAGTTAACTCACTAGTTAATTAATTTACTAGTTAATTTTGGCCAAAATGCTAGTTTTGCTTACATTACTGGGGAAATAGCTTTTCATTAGAGATCCGGCCATAGATTTTCGGAAAAGAATAGGAAACAGAAGGAAAAGGCATTTGGGCTATTATATTCCTATGTGGAGCCCTGGTGGTACTGTGGTTAAGAGTCTGGCTGCTAACCAAAAGGTTAGCAGTTCGAATCCACCAGCAGCTCCTTGGAAACCCTATGGGGCAGCTCTACTCTGTCCTACAGGGTTGCTATGAGTTAGAATCGACTTGATGGTAATGTTTTGGTTTTATATTCCTATGTACCAGGCACCTTGCTATGTTTATATTTCATAGGCAAATGCTACCCCCAAGGCAAAAATTTGGACCCACTAAATAGTTCACTAGTGAATTTTGGGCAAAATGCTGGTTTTGCTTAGATTATTGAAGAAATAGCTTTTCTTTAGTGACCTGGCCAAAGATTTTCATAAAAGAGTAGGAAATTGACAAGGAAGAGTTTGGGGCTATTCCCCATGGGAGCAATCCATTCCTTCAGGCCATAGGAAGAAGGATCAGTGAGATGTGACTCCAGTCTGAGAAGGCCCAGCTGGGAAGAGTTTAAAAATGCTAAATAATTTAAAGTGGCTGAAAACTAACCAGTGTAAAATGGTCCGCCTTAAAAGAAACTATCTTAACTTAGTTGGAGCAAACCCCAGTTTGGAGTGCCATCTCCCCAAGCTCAGTTGTCCCAAAGCCACTGTGTGATGTGATTAGATATGTCTTTATTCTTAGCACTGACCAGTGGTGTTCAATAGAACTTTCTGTGATGATGGAAACGTTCTATGTGGCTATTAAGCACTTAAAATGTAGCTAGTGTAGTTGAGGAATATTTCATATTTAAACTAATTAAAATTAACAAATAAATAGACACGTGTCTAGGGGCTACTGGGCTGGACATGCAGTTCTACAGAATTCAGAACTAAGTCGTCAAGCACTGGAGTCAGGCTCAGTCATTAAAACCCAAACAGGAGGTTGTCTGGGATTAAGGGTAGAGCTCTTCGTAGTTGGAGAAAATAGTAAATGTCCAGGCCTTGTCACCCTTATCTTCCTAAGAGTAAATACCAGTCTTTCCAGGTGGACAGGTAAATGTCTGAAACATGGGTTCCCAGCTTTTAGGAACAAGATCCACAGCTTTTAGAAAAATGGGCTCATGGATCCCCAGACTCACGTGAGGAGGCCACCATGCTGACAATGATGGACGAGGAGGTGCTGGAGCTCTGCACCAAGACGGTCACCAGCACTCCGATCACCAGCCCTGCCACAGGGTTGGACAGGATAGCATTGTCGCTGAAGAACTGCCCGGCCACCTTTCCTGGTAAACAAATCCACAACCACATGACAGTTGGTTCAGTAGTCGCTGGGTCAACAGAAGTCTCCATCCAAGGTCAGCTGGCCATGGAGTTTGGGAGCCCAGTCTCCAGCCCCATGGAATCTTCCTTCTATGCTTTTTTCCAATGCTGCCCAGCTGCCACAAGAGACCCAGTCTGCTGGCTGTCCTTCACATGCTCTCCTATCACCACTTCTCCGGCCTAGCTCCCCACCCACCATCATCCCCAACACTCATCTTGTTCCTTCACCCTACATCCTCCCATTCTTTAACCAGAGGGTTTGAACTCCTTCAGGAAGCTCTTTCCTAGCCGTCTCTGATCATGGACCTGGCATCAATTGGTTCAGGGGATGCCAGTGAGCCTCCTGACTCCCTAATTCTTCTTCTAGGTCTCTGTAATGCAGTCCCAACTCAGAAGAAGATTCATCTTCCAGGAATGAATCTGAGTGAATCTTCTCATTCTCCTCTTCTTTTCCATCCACCCCCAGCCCCAGCCAGCCTAAGTTCATAATAAACAAACAAAAAAAAAAACCAAGCCTGTTGCCGTCAAGTCAATTCTGACTCACAGCTACCCTATAAGGTTTCCAAGGAGCAGCTGGTGGATTCGAACTGCCAAGCTTTTGGTTAGCAGCCAAGCTCTTAACCACTGTGCCAGGGCTCTAAGTTCACAATAGAAATCTATTTTTTTAAACCATTAAGATACCTCTAAGACCACCAAATCCATTCCTCTGATTTTATAAAGAAAGCTGAGGCACACAGAGGTAGTGTGACTTCCCTGAGACTACACAGGACAGAGTGAAGACCCTCACTAATTCCGCAATGGATCAGGGGGACCAGAAATGGTGGCTGCCCCTCTCATGCTCCTCTACAAATGCCCTCAACCCCGATTTTTCCAGGTCACAAAGAAGAGAGGAACAAAGAGGTGCAAACACCATGGTCTTTGGTGTCTCTTGGAAATGAGTGTGAATTCTGCTGTGAACTTTGGGAATAATTACTGATCTTTCTGAGCCTCAGTCTTCTCCTTCGTAAATGGAAAGGGCTTTGGGGAGGAATAAACTATGCACCTAGTAGGCTCTCAAAGTGCCATAGAAGGTATAAATGTTACCACACATGGTGACTTCACCCTCAGGGTTCTCATCACACCACCTGGCCACACTCAGTCCTAGAAGATGTTTAGACAACTGCCATGGGTGCAGATTCCCCCAGACAGAGGAACCCTGTCTTTCCCCAAGAAAGGCCCAGCTGTGGCCTAAGAGAGTAACCATTATCCTATAATCTCTCAGGTGGGGAGGCCCAAAGATAGCATGGACCCCTCAGATGAAAAATCCTCATGTCAAACAGCTTCCTGCCTGGGGCTTGAGGACAGACATGGGGCTGTCAGGGCCGAGGAGTCATCAGCTCGGCATTGATTCCAGCCCTGGCTCCTGCCTAAGCCACTTTGGCAAGTCATAGCTCCTTTATGGACCTCAGTTTCCTCTTCTGTAAAATAGAGGGCATAGACTTTACAAGATCTTCTCTGAAGTGGCTTCTATTCCAAAAACATCCCAGGATCCTGCAGCTTGAGAGGACTTGCTAAGGTGTTCCATCTGAACCCAGTTTGATTAGACACCTCCCACATCCATCCATACCTCCAACCAGCTGGAAGGCACTGCTGAGGACATCCAAGGAGCACACGAACAAGTAGAGAAATCCCAGAAGGCAAATGAATTTCCCAATCCCTTGGAATATACATAGAATCTTCCCTTTGGTGTCTCTCTCTGGGGATAAAAAAAAAAAGCATGAAGGTAAATTTTAGTGTTTGAAAGACTGAGAAGTTTGGCAATGAGCTCAGAACAGCCCACCTCCCACCCACGGACAGAGCCAGTCAGGTGGGCAGTGAGCTCTTGGGTATAGGAAGGCCAACAGATCCAGTGCATCCATTGCTGCAGTTTTCAAAGCAGTCACCACTGTAGTCCATTTTAGCGAACACCCTGGTGAAGTGGCTCTAAAGGATTTGCATTAGGGAGGAGGTGTTCAATCTGGGGCACAGACAGGCATACGAGGCTCCAGAACCAGCTGAACCACACTGTTGCTGATTGAGGCAGGTAAGAGCACTTGCCACCCGCTAAGTGCTGGATTAGGGATAATGGCAGAGTATTTTCTAGAATGTGGCTTCATGGTAGGAATAATAGAGGGCCTCTGGGCCCTGGGCCCTCCCTGGAATGCTCCGTCCTTGACTGCTATTTCCTCCAGTCACTTTTAAAGCCCTACATGGTCCTCACCTCCTCCTCCCTCCCTCAGCATCCCCCTATCTTCTCTCTCTAGGGTTTGCATCAGTATCTTCTGGCTTTTTTTTTAACACTTACCTCTCCTCTTCCTGATTAGGAGCTGAGAGTAAAACAGGTGAAATCCCTCCTATTGCAGCCGCCCTGCCTCCCAGTTCTCTCTCCTAGACCAGTTCCCCTCTTTCCCAACTCCCCTCCCTCCTAACTCCAACCTCCCTTCCCTCCCAGCTCCACACACAAACCTTCCAACCTGCGCCTGGAAAAGAAAAGCAGTATTACTTGCACTCCAGCTATTCTGGCTGCACATTCACTTGTCTAATTGTATCTTTTTTTGTCCACTCCAAAGAAAGGTAAGCCAACTGAATGCAGACATTATCGAACAATATCATTAATATCACACAAAAGTAAAATTTTGCTGAATGTCATTCAAAAATGGTGGTAGCACTATATCTACAGGGAACTACCAGAAATTCAAGCCAGATTCAGAAGAGGTCTTGGAAGAAGGGATATCATTGCTGATGTCAGAGAATAGCAGAAAGATGCTTACTTGTGTTTTATTGACTATGCAAAGGCTTTCAACTGTGTGGATCATAACAAATTACAGATAACATTGCGAATAATGGGAATTCCAGAACACTTAATTGTACTCATGCAGAATCTGTACATAGACCAAGAGGCAGTCCTTCGAACAGAACAAGGGGATACTGCATGGTTTAAAGTTAGGAAATGTGTGTGTTAGGGTTGTATTCTTTCACCGTACTTATTAAATCTGTATGCTGAGCAAATAATCAGAGAAGCTGGGCTATATGAAGAGGAATGCAGCATCAGGATTGGAGGAAGACTCATTAACAAGGGGCACAACCTTGATTGCTGAAAGTGAAGAGGACTTGAAGCACTTACTACGAAGATCAAAGACTACAGTCTTCAGTATGGATTACACGTCAACATAAAGGAAACAAACATCCTCACAACTGGACCAATAAGCAACATCATAATAAACGGACAGAAGATTGAAGTTGTCAAAGATTTCATTTTACTTGGATCCACAGTCAGCGTCCCCAAAGCAGCAGTCAAGAAATCAAACAATGTATTGCATTGGACAAATCTGCTGCAAAAGACCTCTCTAAGGGGTTACAAAGCAAAGATGTCACTTAGAAGACTAAGGTGCACCTGACCCAAGCCATGGTATTTTCAACCGCCTCATAGGCATGAGAAAGCTTGACAATGAATAAGGAAGACTGAAGAAGAATTGATGCCTTTGAATTATAGTGTTGGAGGAAATATTGAATATACAGTGGACTGCTGGAAGAACGAACGAATCTGTCTTGGATGAAGTTCAGCCAAAATGCTCCTTAGAAGTGAGGATGTCAAGACTTTGTCTCTTGTAATATGGACATGTTATCAGGGTGGACCATTCCCTAGAATAGGACATCATGTTTAGTAAGGTAAAGGGTCAGCGAAAAACAGAAAGTTGCTCAAGGAGATTGATTTACACAGCGGCTGCAACAATAGCCTCAAACATAGCAACAATTGTGAGGATGGTGCAGGACAAGGCAGTGTTTCGTTCTGCTGTACACAGGGTCACTATGAGTCGGAACCAACTCCATGGCACCTAACAACAGCAACAACAATTGTATCTTTCCTTGATGCTTCCATAGGTGCCAACATTCTGGTATAGGAGCCAGGAGCTACTGCAGGTTCAAGTGCCTTGTAGGATATGAGCAAATGGACGAGGTGTGCTATGTCCATGATGGAGGCAGTACTCTTCCAAAAGCCTCCTCTGATGCCCACCTTTAGGTGAGAGGCCCTCCAAGGAGCTCTCTGAAAGCAGGGACCTCATCTGTTCACAGTTGTGCCCAGAGCACCTTTGACAGTAGGTCACCAACACTATAATTCAGTATCTGTCTTGGTGATAACTGCAGCATCTGGCACATTTGTTGCACGACAAATTTGCTGTAGGAACAAATGCTCCCCAAACAACATGCTTTACTTCTAAACGTCAGTGACAGCCAGATGGCATCCCTGCTCAGGACCCTTGACCTAAGACATTAGAACAATGAAAAGGGGGACTGTGACACACAAGAGTGAACCAGTGGTGCCAATACTTGCAGTAGGCAGTACCCCTCCCACCTTGCCCCAGCTAGAATGAGCTGGCTTCATTTTTACCTGACCACTTGATCCCCGTGTCCCTAAGTGCAGGCATGTCCCATGGGTCATCCACCTCTGGCGGGTCTTCAATCAGTGCCATAGTGGAATATGAAGGCAGAATTTCCGTCTTGGTTACAGCGCTCCCGGAGGCATCTGCCCAGACAAGCAACAAGACACAGGAGTCAGACATGAGTCCCCCTGGGTCCTCACAGAAGGCTAGTCCGTGGCTGAATGACCACTACTCACTTTTAGCGGTCTCTTCACCTTTTGCAGGTGTGGCAGACTGCTGATTAGTGACCTCTTCGATGTATTTATTGGAGTCTGGCTGGGCATTTTCCAACTCAGGCCAAGGAGCCATTGTCTGTGGATGGAAAAAGAGAGCTTAAAGAAGTCACCACCAATACGAGGCACATGCCTAGAAGAAGTTCAGGTAAAGTCCAGTTGGTGTGATGTGGGAACCGCCATGATGGGGAGAACCTTTGGTAGTAATGCTTCTTTTTGTGGGGAGTAGAGGAAGTGTGGGTGTCACGCTATACCTTCTAAGTTTGGAATCTTAAGTGCCACATTTATTCCTCTTCCAACCACTCATCTAGGCTGCTACTAAATTAGACCACTTCTTCCAGTATATTTCTGCTGTAGCCTCAAATCTATATAATTAGTTGATCCTCCAGCTTCTGTCTTGGCCTGTCTTGACTCTCTCCTTCAGTCAGAAACAGAATGAAAACGCATCCTTCTTCATCAACTCACAGTATGTCAAGTCCTCACAATCTTCCAATAAGCTGATTTTCACTTCAAAGTTGGCCTGCTCATAAACCTGCCTCATCCCAAGGATGTAATGTATGACATAATGTGTATGTATGATGTAAGGTACATGTATAGGTCCCATTTTTTTACTCAATTGTTTGACTTTTCTTCTTTCTTCCTTCCTACCTCCCTCTATCTCCTTCATTCTTTCTTTCCTTCTCTCTGTTTTTATATTATTGATGTGAGCCTTTGGCTGGTAACATATATTTCATATAAACTTCTCCCAGTCTGTAACCTATCTGTTTGCTCTCTTAATAGTATCTTTTAATAAGTAAAAATTCTCAGAATTAAGAGTTATTTTCAGCACTCTTATTTAGCACTCCTTTTTTGTTTGTTTGTTTGTTTTGCTAATCCTCTTTTTAGGAGTCCTTGGGTGGTGTAAACAGTTAAACACTGGACTAATAGCTGAAAGGTTGTTGGTTCAACCCTCGGAAGACAGTCCTGATGATCTGTTTTCAAAAGGTCACAGCCTTGAAAATCCTGTGCAGCTGTTCTACTCCATAACAACAATATATATGTATACATTGATTTACATTTTACCTGCTTAACCAACACCCGGGTCAAAAACATGACACCTTGGACCTTGTTCAAATCCCAGTCATGACACTTACTATTGTGTCTGTATTGAGGCAAGTCACACTGTGTCTCTTAGCATCCGTTTCCCCATCTATAAAATAGGAATAATCCTCTGTACCTTGCAGAGTTGTTATGGAATTAATGATGATATCTGGAAAGTGCCTGGCACAGAGCAGTTATTATTATTACTATACCATACTGTCTGGATTAAAGAAAGACCCTTTGTGAGAACCACATTTGTTCTCTTCCATTCTTGCCCCTCCCCTCCCCTCCGATTCTATCCTATGCTATCTTATCCTATGCTATGCTATGCTATGCTACGCTACGCTATGCTGTGCTATTCTATTCTATTCAGACTTCCTCATGACCCATTTTCTCCACAAAGCCTTTCTCAGGTACATGAAGAGGAAGCACAGCTCTTGACACACCTGGCCACCCATTGCTTGCAGTCTTTGTCCTTTAACACACATTAGACAATGCAGTCCAAAAGGACTGGAACAAACAATTCACAGAACAGGAAGTACAAATGGCTGAATACTTATTTAAGAAAGAGTTCAGCCTCATTAACAATACAAGATGTGAAAATTAAAACAACAGTGAGGCATAAGTTCCAACTATCAAAATAGCAATTAAAAAAAAGAGAAAAAACATATACTATACCATGCTGGAGAACTGTGATGAGATGAACACTATGGGAAGTTCTAAAAAATAGTTGGCAATACATCTAAAGTGACTTGCATTTTTTGTACCCAGGAATTTCGCTTCTAGGAATTCCAACAACAAAAAAAACCAAACCCATTGCCATCAAGTCAATTCTGACTCATAGCGACTAAATCATCAGAAATACTTGCCTTGTTCCATCAGTTCATTCAGGTTTCATTTAAGTTTATTAAGAAGCCCCCAGCACCTCACCTGACTCACAATGTTTTTGCTGGGTGCTATTGAGTCAATTCCAACTCATAGAGAACCTATAGGACAGAACAGAACTGCCCCATAGGATTTCCTAGGCTGTTATCTTTACAGGAGCGGAATTACATTACATCACACATACACATACATACAGGTCCCACTCACAATAGTACTATGCTTTCTGAGTACCAGAGAGCCAATATTTATCATGGGATAATGGGTTTACCATGGGTCAAGGCCTGCTAGGTACTTTACATTGAGGAATGTGCTATTATTCTTCCCATTACACAGGTAAGAAAATTGAGGCACAGAAACTGAGGTTAAATAACTTCCAAGTGGTAGAAAGAACCTTGAACACAAGCCCATTTGAATCCAGAACCTTCCCCCACAGTGGCTCTTGGGCTGGAGCCTTCTGTGTGCCTCCCAGTTTCTGAGAGCAGGACTATTTTCTAATGCCCTGTCTCCAGTGTCTGTCATAGAGGTTTGAATCCTCCCTGTAGCTCAGTGAAACACCTTCTTCTTAGAGCTGATAATTAAATGTGGGACATAGCCTGCAGTTCAAGGCCTGTGGGACGCATTTCCTTCCTGAGATGTGTTGAAGGGCAGCTACAAGGCTGGAGCGGGGCAGGGGAGGTGGTGCAGAGGTGGGGTGGTTGGGGAGGAGAGGCTCACCTGGGCTAATTTCAATCACAGCTCAAGGCCACCATGGTAGGTGAATTGGCCCAGGTTTGAAATGATGTAAACCAAACTCGCTGTCATCGAGTTCATTCTGACTCAGTGACCCTATAGGACAGAGTAGAACTGCCCCATAGGGTTTCCAAGGCATGGCTGGTGGATTCGAACTGCTGACCTTTTGGTTAGCAGCCGAATGCTTAACCACTGTACCACCAGGACTCCTGAAATGGCACAGAGGTTTAAAAAAAGGCCCATCCAATGTGCTTTTTTTTAACTACAGCTAAAATTTCTTTACCTCTCCGACTCTAATAAAGGGATCCTTAGTGATGGTGTCTTGTGGAAAAAAATTCTGGAACTCTCAATTTCAGTCAGGCCCTATACTGGGTACTCACATAGCATAGAGGTTGAGAACCAGACTCTAGAACAACACTTAAACCCAGCTCTGCCCCAGACACACTGTAACCTTGGGCAAGTCAGTTGACCTCTTCATACCTTCATTTCCCCGTCTGTAAAAGGGCTTTATAACAGCGCCTTCCTCTTTGGGTTATTAGGAAGCTTAAATGAATTGGTTTCCTGTCACTCCTCTTAGCAGCCCTGTGAGGTAGTGTTATTCCCATTTTACAGATGAGAAAACTGAAGAGAGCCTAGGCCTCTTGGCCCAGGGCTGCACCAAGATTCTCTGCCTATGATTCTATGCTTTGCCTCTATGACTACATGACCTGGAGCCCACGAAGACCCATCCTGTTGTATTATGTTTGGAAACACCTGAGTGATCATGTGGCAAGAAAGAGTGGGTTACACATCAAAGATGAGATGGTCCTGATTAATGGCCCAGTTCCAGGCACATCAAGAAGATGTTTCCACACTCTGCTGCAGAAGGTCAGGGCCCCACTCACTGTACACAGAATCTAAGAGGGAGGAAAGGAGGCAGCAATTCCCATCCCAGGTATCTGTACAAAAAAGGCCTACCCCCTTCAGCCTGCATTCCAACCTCCAGGCCTCCTATAGCCAATGCTCACAGGCCATTGATACCAGCCATAGTTTTAAATTCAACCTAACCTAAATCCAACTCATTCTTTTCCCCTTCACCCCATATGCTCCCCTAAGGGGAATGTTCCTGTTGATGTGATTCCTGCCATCATCCTCCGAGAATCTCAAAGTCATCCTTGAGTGCCTCCAAATCTGACCAGGCACCAGGACCTACTGATTCTACCTGAGAGCATCTCACACCCATGCTGTCTTTAGTTCCTGGTACCTCCTCTCTCGCCTGGGCCTCAGCAGCTCCCACTGGGACAAAGGCAGCAGCCTGTCCTACTGGTTTGGGCCCCAGTGTCTCTCCACAGGTAAACTTTCTTAATAACCAGAGGTGACCACTTGGGTGTAGTCTGACTCCCCATCTGCATAACCCACATCTTTTACTACCCACTGCTCCCCATCTAAGGAGCCCTGGTGGTACAGTGGTTAAAGCGCTCGGCTGCCAACCAAAAGGTCAGTGGTTGGAACCCACCAGCTGCTCTGTGGGAGGAAGATGTGGCAGTCTGCTTCCGTAAAGATTACAGCCTTGGAAACCCTATAGGGCAGTTCTACTCTGTCCTATAAGGTTTCTGTAGAGTTGCTATGAGTCAGAATTGAGTCGATGGCAATAGGTTTGGTTTTTTTAGGTTGCTCCTCATTTGAGCCCACTGTGAGGAAGTTCTGCTCTGTCCTATAGGACTGTGCATCAGAATTGACTCAATGGCAACGGGTTTGGTGTTTTGGGTTACTCTCCAGCTAAGCCCTCTCCTCTGGTCTTACTGGCTTAATATTGAAATCTCGGACACTCCCACTTCTGTGCTTTTGCTCGGGCAAAAAAACAAACAACAAACCAGTTGCCCTTGAGTCAATTCCAACTCACACAACCCTATGTGTTTCAGAGTAGAACTGCACTCCATAGGGCTTTCAATGGCTGTGACCCTTCAGAAAGAGTTGACCAGGCTTTTCTTTCCAATGCCTTGGGTGGGTTTGAACCACCAACCTCTCAGCAAGCAGCTGAGTGAGTGCTCCATTCCTCCCATAGAAAGCCCTCCTCACATCTTTCTGTCCCCCCATCAGACTCAGCCCAGGTTCTCCCTCCTCCTGTGCCTGAGTTCTCTGGCCCTTTCTGTTCTTTCCCTTCTGTGTGCTTCTAGCATTACTGTACTACCTGTGTGACTCTCTTGGCACTCCATCACACACCACTGTGACATCTTTTAATTGCTTTATAATAAGAACAATTACTACTTAATGAGCCCAAATAGGAGTCAGGTGCTGTGCTGGTGCTTGACATATATTATTTCATTCAATATTCATCTAAGAAAGGCATCATGATCATCCCCATTTGGCAAAAGGGAAAATCTGGAGCCCAAAGAGATTAAGCAATTCACTCACGGTCACCCAGGAGCTGAGTGACAGAGTCAGTTTTACACCCAGGTCTACCTGTCAATGAAGTTGGGGCCTGGACCCACAACACGCTTATTTCCCACACTCCAGTAGGAA